GGAGAAAGTGGAACTGCTATGGATTGGCCAGCAGCGACAGCAACAACAGCAGCCGGCGCCAGAAGCAGGACCCCAGCTAACCGCCCCCCAGCAGGAGACAATCGGAGGTCTTAAGGTGATAACCACTGCTACTGCCCTGAACCTGCCGATAGAAAACCAGGTGACCCCACCACAGCCGGACTGGACAAAGAGGATGGGAGAAGCCAAACGGCGGATGCAGCGTCTGTCCCGCTTTCCGCTGTCAGCATTTGTAAGGGCCACGGCTTCGTCAGCGTATGGCTTGCAGACAGTCACCTGGCACATGGAGCATGGCGGACTGGGCCCAGACCGCATGCTGGATGACATAGAGCATCTCACGGCTCGCCTGGTCGACCGCCAACAAGGCCCGGATGATCCTGGCCGACACTTGACTGGCGTGCCCAAGGAACTCCTGATTGGTCACCCATCGGTAGGAGGTTTTGGTCTGCTGCCCCTCCAGCAACACATCCAAGCCCGGCATGCGGTGTGGGCTGCTCGTTTTGTCATCACAGCTCTAGGGCTGCGAACAGGCAGCACAAGAACAGATACAGGCGCAACAGACACAGATTATGCAGGTGGGCAGAGGTATCCACCCCTGTGTCCGCACGCTTTCCGCCTACCTCCTATTCACAAACCCCGCTTTCCAGTCATGGGCACTGACAACCACGAGCCCAACTGGGCCCTGGCTTGGGACTAGGGACCTGCCGAAGGATATCAGCCGGATTGTGGGAGCCCTGGGGCACTTGCCGCCACCAGCGGACATCAGGACCAACCCACTGACACCCGGCGACTGGTGCTGGGCGACTGCATTATGGGGAAGCCCGCTACTCCCCAATGCTGGAGGGACTGACCCGACCGACCTGGGCCGCCACCCCGGTCTGGAGTACCAATATCCAGGGCTTGCCACCTGTAGGAAACTGCAGACGGTAGGGGACCTGGTGCCGGTTTGGGCCCTGGCAGAGAGCAGCGATCTGGCAACCCTCCCTAGGACGGTTTGGCTGGAGTGGGACCAGACGCACCTCGACCCACTTACCCCGATCTCCACGCGGGATAAACCCGTGACCCGGGCAGCCCTCGCGCTGCTGCATAGCAGCATAAACCCGGCCTGGCTTGAAGCTGCTACAATGGTGGAGACCCGGCGACAACAGCAGCAGCAGGAACAGCAGTGGGGGCTAACGGAACCGATAGCAGTGGCAATAGAAGGGGAGGAGGCTGCCATACCGTCACCAGCACCACTGCTGACCAGCACACAAGCGATGGGTATGATTGCTGGGCGAATTGGGTGGCGTATACCTGGGATGGCGGAAGCCATCCCGCTGGCACGCCTCACGGTTCGCCTGGCGACACAGCTGCAATGTGGGCCTATGGAGGAGAGGAGAAGACACCTGGTGGCTGAATTGGTGCGGAAGGCGACGGATCCTCAGGGCCCGTTGCCGCCGCCCCCGTCGGAAATCAGTCTATCCAGGGCGACCCAGGCCCGCGTATGGTCCGGGGTACGATGGGAGAATGAGAATAAGGAGACGTTATGGCGGCTCGCGGTGGATGGCGTCCCCCTACCGGGCAACATGCACCTAGCCCGCATGACTCCAGGACGCTGTGGATGTGGCGGATTCGGTGGAGCAGCTGGTCAGCCATGCTCGCCATGCATGCATCACTTTTGGGAATGCCCGGTGGCACAGGCGGTGTGGGCACAGATCGACCGGTCTTCTCAGGAAGTGGCGGCAGGGGGAGTCACCCGAAAGCAACTCTGGCTAGTACTAGCCTCAGCCGGATGCGAACAGGCCGTATGGGATGTAATCACCCTATCGGCCCTGTCTGCCATGGAGATTGGCAGATGCTGCCTGAGAGCAGCGGGCAGGAGGCAGGAACGAGCTGGGAGCCAAGGTCTGCAGCAACGGGGGGTCTGCACCCCCAGCAACCCCCTTGGAGCGGGCCTGCGCCCGGGCAGTGGTGGACTTCTGGGCGCGTTTGCGCTCCTTCACGGTGCTGGGCACCCCGCGGAGAGGCTGGGACAGGGTGGGACCCGACCACCCGATCCTGTCTGTTTCAGAAGACGCGCTGCGGTGTGCTGATGCGGTGGAAATTATTGCCTAAGAGTGCTTTGAGCGTAGTATGTAGGGCAGGGCTCGGGTTGGGTATAGGAGTTGAAGGGGGATAGAGGTTTGAGGTAAGGGAATAGGAGAGAGGAAGCCCCGAGGCGGGAGAGGGAGAGGAGTAAGGCGTGGAGTGGAGAGGGTCACGTAGTGCGGGGAGGAACCCTTTTTCCTCCCCAGTGCCGCTTCGAGGTTGTAGGGTGTTGGAGAGCCCCAGGGAGGTAGGGTTGCGCGGGTAGGGGAGGGGGGAAGTGGCGGTGAGAGCGCCAAGAGGACGTAGGTTACTGGTGTTCGGGAGGGTGAGTTTTGGTGGTAGCAGCGGGGCTCGGATGGGGGGGAGTTGTGGCCCGAGGAGGACCATCTACTTACACACGTCTTCTTTGCGGCACTGGGTTGCTTGGCGAGGGGCGAGGGTGGGAGCGGTGCAGTAGGAGGCAGGGTGAGTAGGTTCTGGAGGACCAGCCGTTCCGGTTTAGTGATGGTAAGGGGGAGGCGCTGCGCTGGCTACTATCCTCCCCCTGCGGTATTCTGGAGGGCGTAGGAGCTGTGTGTCATGGCTACGTTGTCCCGCTTGTGGTCTCACCGGTCTGTGCCGGGCACCACCTGCCGTGGTGATCGGGCTTGTGCGTGGTCCCTTTCCTTTGGTTGGTTACTTCTTCCCTGGACCAACCCAGGAAGGTAGAGGTAGCGGAGGACAGTTGTCGTGAGGTGGCTGTAAGACGTCTTGTGGTTCGAGCTCTCTACGCCTTTTTTCTTGGAGGTTTTTCTTTTTTGGCTTGTTAGGTGCATCAGGAGCCCTCCCCTGCCTGGGCTACCCTAGCCGTCTTATTTCGTTGTTCGAGTTTTTCTTCCCTGTGTCGCTGGTTGTGTTTTGGGGGGATGTTCCAGAGAGCTTGTGCCTTTGCCCTACTTGAGACTTGTGGACTGGCTCTAGCGGGACCTGAGAGCACGTCGTACTTTCTTTGCAACACCATCCCCGGACGGAGGTGCTGTGGAGCGGCTGCGTTGTGTGTTGGCAGTCTGAATCGGGGTCGGGAGCACACAAGACTACCGACTTGTGCTGTGTGCTCCCGACCGTTGCACTGTGTTCCGGCTTTGGCCCCCGGCTCTCGCGGCCCACATTGTAATCTAAGTCATACATACATACATATATACATACATACATTACAACAGTACGAAAGTTTGCGAGCTCCTGGAACCCTCATGACCCTCCGAAAGCATTAACCAAGACGTAATGGGGCTATCCCCTGAACAAAGGCCCCCTGCAAGCCTAACGAACTTCATTAACGGCACCAACATCACCACACAACTGACATGATGTAATCATCCCTCCAACAATGCCGTATTCACATTACTGACAATTGCACATACAGAAGTACGACATCCCTGCTCATTGAAGGCATTCCGTACCTAATGATCCAATTACCCATCACCCACACTGTTGCCAGCTGGTGCAATGTATAAAATGTGTTTACGCAATACTGCACGTTCATTCCGATTACCGTTCAAGCCCAGGACCCAGTACGACAATCCAATCCCCCACGCAAACCACCGTTGATGGTCTTGCTGTTGCCATCAACCACCCTAACTGCCTTAACCATCGTGCATTTCACTACATAATGAAGGTCACATACAGGCACACCCAAGCACGATTGGCTATGGGCTTAGGCGCCACAACTCCGTTTGGGAGTGTTGGGAAACACAGGACATCAACGACAAAGAATACCGATATGTGTAACTGACATCCGGGGGGCCCTTTGCTGTGTACGGCTGGAATCGAAAACCATCCGCAACCTCCTGTCAATTCGCCGTCAGGGGTGAGTCCCCAACTCTCACTTCCTCATCTGATCACGCACCCTCCATTCCCCAAGCTATGGCAGCAAATTGAGAATGGTAGCGGTGGCTGCACCACACTACTGGACATGCCATCGATGGTGATATGTATGCACCGGAAACTACATGTACTCACGTGTACCTCGCGGAATTTTGGGTAGTAGGCAAACATCCGCGTATGTGTAAATGGCAGCACGCTACTAACACAACAAGCGGGTCCGTTCAATCGCTTTCAAACCATCAAGCTGTAGGGTAACGTGGTTTGTTCAACCTGCTTTCCTTAAGAGTCCTTAAGCGCCGCGTATGGCAATAGCTACAAGGGCTTCTACTGTAGGCATAGCTTGGGTTTCCCAAGGAGATGTTGAATAGAAACGTGATATCAAGAATGTGTGTGTTTAGTTCGTTCGACTTTGTTCAGGATTTGTTCGCTGTGTGGGAGTGGAAGGGGTCTGTGGGGGTGCGGGCTCAGGAGAACCATGTGTGTCATAATCAACGTGTGTATTTATTGGAGTTCTCATTTGCTGGAGAGAAAGAATCAAAGAATAAATGAAGGAAGGAATGAGAGGATTCAACCATCCTGGCTGCTTGGAATCCGTACGTACGGCAGTGTGGCCATGTATGTAGGTACTAGGTGTCGTTCTTCAGAGCAAGCATTTCGCTCCAGTGTTAACTTCCTCCCAGGGGGGAACACACAGAAAAAACGAAGCGTACATATCTCATGTGTAGCACATCCACATGTCCACGTGCACTGCCCTTCAGCAAATCTACAACTTCAACAAGAAATTCCACTACTTGCCTATTTACCAGATGAACCTATCTATTGCTTTCCTGCCAGATAACATCACATCCTGCTCATCTGTTCATCCTGGGCCCTAATGATCCCACCCTCCACACAATCAACTAAACTAAGGTTGCTCCTGTGTGCATCCCGCCCTCATTCCGTGTGCACCACCCAACCCATGCCTCACCACTTCCATCTCGAGGCTCAGCTCAAGCTTTTCTAAACCTCTAGTTGCATACCCGCCAGACGCCAGACGGGACCAGGCCCCAGTCACGTTAACAGGCTGCAGGCTCCCTGCATTCAGCAGCCAGCAGCACCAACAGCCGCTGATGCAGCTGCTCTGCTACCACTGGCAACCCCGCAGCCACCGGCCGAAAAGTCACAACCTGCTCACGAGCGCATGCTAGCAGCAACACACATACCTCCCTGGCAAGTCGCGCCTCCTCCTCCTCCTCCTCCTCCTCATCCTTATCCACCTCCTCCTCGGCCTTACTCGGTAACGCCTTCGATAACACTGCACTGACATGCTTTCGCAACCCTCCCACTCCACCATCACCCGCCAACCCTTCCGTTGTCTGGACCACTGGCACCGATGCCGCCTTCGACATCTCCTCTTTCGCCTTCGTGTGTGTTGGAGGTGTTCGCATCAACACCACCAGCATGTGCCGCCACAGTACGGTAGCATGTGCCGACACACGTGGCCATGTCGTACAAATCACTGCTGCCAGTAGCCGCAGCGCTGCTAGCCGTGTTGCTCCATCATATGCATGAAGCCACTCGAGCAGCAGCGGCATGAGACGGCTCGCATGGCGTAGGGATGTAAGACCCAAGCCGACCAGAAGGTGATTAAAGGCAGGCATGAAGGCGAGCCGCCGTACAGCCACGTGCGCCTGACGTTCCATTTCTGTAAGCAGGTCGGCAGCCAGGCCGTGATATCCGGCGGACCGCGGATTCTTGCCCTGAAAACAGAGAACAAAAGGAATGGATGCACGCGACGAGATGAGAAAGTAAAAAAAAAACGGAAAAAACGAAAGAGGAGGAACAGGTGAAGGCAGGGAGCAGCAAGAGCTAAAATCGCGTTAGATCATCATGACACCTGGCAGAGCAGCTGCTGTGATGACAATGAGGATTCAACCCGAACAAACGGTTCGGAAAAACTGGTAAAATCGGCAAAAACAACCCACACTCCGGCCAGCCAGCCAGCCAGCCCGGCTCCAGTTCGTGGGCTGACCAGGGCCCGACCCAGCCTAGGCCTAGCACAGTAGTCGGGTCGGGACTCCAGGACTCAGTACCCGGCCCCGCAAAACCATCATTGTGCTTCGTTCATGCAACAGAGAGAGCCGATGCCGTACATACCTCGATGCGCCGTACAACAGCCACCGCCGCCGGGCAAACTAGCGACCACAGCTGCTCATGGCAGCCCACCACCAGCCGCCGAGCCGCCTCCAAAAGCAACTCCCGTTGCCACTGCAGGTCTGTGTGTGTGTGTGTGTTGCAGGGGGATTGTTGGGGTTATGGTGGTAGTTGTAGCGGTGATGTGGAGTGAGCATATACATACAGACGTATAAAGTACACTTACATACACACATACATATGTACACATATTCCAAAATTGGAAGCTAACCCTCCAAGGCGGTCACGTGCACACACATGCACGCTTCTTAACACTACCACACTACCCCCGACAACATCACACCATCACACACGTCCTCTTCGTCAAGGGTAATTCTGCGGAAGCCCCTACCCGCCGCCAAGCACTCCGCTGCGACGGCATGCAGCGCCACCACGCCGTACTGCGCCACCCCTGGAGCGGGGTCGTCAATGCAAGCCAGCAATGCGGGCAGAGCCTCCCGCAGTACGACACCGATGAAGGGATGTCGACAGCGCATCAACAGCCAGGCCAGGCGGCGGGCTGCCACGGCGCGTGTGAAGGTATCTGGAGGCGAGGAGGTATGCGGTAACGCAGGTACATGAATGGTGGGTACATCGGAAGATGGGTAGAAAGGAAGATGGAAAGGTGGGAAGGTCGGAAGGGGCATCTCGCGGGTTTGTGGGGAGAAGTGATCAAGCCCCCGGGCATGTCAAGCCGCTTGGAAGACACTCGCAATGTAAGCTGGCAGTTTTTGTTTGTGGGTTGTTCTCAACCGCCAACCACAACCGCTGCCGTACCGGCAACTGCGAACAGTAACGCAGGCGCAGTCGTTAAGAGAGCTCCAATTCCCACCTTCCTTCCACATGTACGCGACATGACCCTAACTTGCTCTTAGTGTAGCCTGATACCTGGGCCTGTGTACGGCCGTATAGGGCCCTCCTCCAGGCTCTGCACGTGACGCTGTACGACAATTGGTCGGATGCGCGCATGCAGCAGCTCTGGAAGGCATGCCGTCAAAGTGTCTTGCTCCGAAACTATCTCTGCCGGCAAAAGTGCCAGCGATGCGGCACCTGCCGAGGCGCCGGTGGCGGCCGAGCCACACAGCGCACGTGACGGTGGCGGCTGCGGCCGCACCCGGCGATGCAACGCCGCCAGCAGCGACTCTGCAGCGGCGGCGACGGCGCCAGTCGCCCAAGGTGTAAACAGTTCCCCCGGCGGCGGCGGCAAACCGGGATCTGCCGCCGCCGCCGCCGGTGCCAGCGCCAGAAGCCGTGGCGGGGCGTAGGTGGCACACAGCAACACAAGCTCCGGAACCAGGGCCTGTTCCTGCTGTCGCCATTCGCCGGCTAGCAATCGCTCCTGGCTAGAGTGGGGCCCGCTGGGGCAGCTGCCACCACCGCTGCCGCCACCGCTGATGTCGCCATTACTGTCGGGCAGCTCCTCAATCACCACCTGAAGAGAGAGTGAGAGAGAGAGAGAGTGAGACAGAGGGTGAGAGAGAGAAACATCCCCTCAAGTCAGAGATTGAAATCCGGGCGGCAGGCGGCAGGCAGGGGGAGGAAGGAGGAAGGAGGAAGCAACAGAGCAGCAGCAAAATTTTACACTCGCGGTACGTCATCGCAGCTACCTGGGGCCGGCGCCGCCGACCCGTGGGCCCGTCAGGGCCTTCACGAGGCTGCTGCTTGACCGCCGCGGCCCCTCCTCCTCCTCCGCCGCCGCCGCCGCCGGTGTCGCTGCAGAGCGATTCCTCGACAAAGCTTTCCTTTCCTAAGCTGGTGCGACTGCCGCCACCGTCATTGACGGGACTGATGGCGCCGATACTGCCACACGCGGCCCCAGACGACATCACCAGCGGCGCTGGGAGTATGGTCAGGAATGCTGTCAGCGCCCGCAGCCCCGCCGTCACCGCCGTACCACACTGCCGTGCGGCGGAGCCGACGGCGGCGCCCGTCGGCGTCGTGGGCGTGCCGTCCACCTCCGAGAAAAGCTTGTCCGGCTCCTAATCAGGCAATCACATACAATAATGGGATCTTAGGCAGTGCCCACCGATCTATCTATTTATCTATCCACCTGACTACAGCATACCGCATATTTACCAACTCGCTCATGGTTCATCTTTCCCCCCTCTCCCTCCCCTCCCCTCCCCCTCTCCCTCCCCTCCCCTCCCCCTCTCCCTCCTCCTCCTCCCCCATGTCCCTCCCCTCCCCTCCCCCCTCTCCCTCCTTCCTCCTCCTCTTCCCCCTCGCCCCTCTCCCTCATATCCACCATCACTTCCACTACCACCACCACCCACCTGCACCAGCGCCGTAATGCGCCGCATCAGCCTCGCCAGGCGCAGCGCCACCGCCGGCTGTGATGCACCCAACCCACCTCCAACATGAGCCCTAGTCGGAGGAGGCGGAATCAAGTTACTTTGCCACGCCGACGCCGCCGCCGCTGCCAACATCCCGTTCACTGCTGGTGATGCTCCTGGTCCACATACATCACCTTCACTGCCGCCGCCGCCAACGACAAAGTTTCCGCTGCTGCCGACACCGCCACCGCCACCGACGGCAGCAGCGGCCGCTGCTAGCTCTTCCTCAGCTCCCAGCACAATGGCGGTAATCGCCGCCAGCAGCCCTGCGCGGCTCACAGTTCCCTTGCCTCCTCTTCCTCGTGCTGCTGACCCCAGGTGCGCCTGCTCCTGCCGATCCGTTTCAGACAAGGGCTCGCCAGGCTGAGGGCTGAGGGCCACAGCGGCTGACTCCGACTGGCTCAGCAGTGCCTGCGTAAGTAAGTATGTATGCATGTCATAAGGGGACGAGGGGAGATTGCTCGTGCAGATGCCATGACAGCGAAAACAGGAGTGTAGTTCGGGAGGCGGGTGTAATGTGTGGCGGGTATTTATGTCGTACATGTACGACGTTTCATTTCATTTTGGCATACGATGTGGGGCGGGACTTCTGCGCCAGCAGCCGCACCCGCTTCGTCGTCTCACCTCCGCTGCCGCCAGGCAACCGGCGGGACCCATCAAGCAGCTCAGACTGTAACACACGAATTGAGCTGCCGCCGCTAGGGAACAAGCCTCCATCGCCACCTTCCCTCTCCTCCCTTCCCCGCCTTGTCTTCGCCGTTCTCCTCCGCCTTCACTCAATCCGGCGCCGTAATCCTCCACTTCATAATCAGCCCCCAAGCTGACGTCATCAACCGCGCCGCCACCGCCGCCGCCGCTGCCGCCACAGACGGCCGATGTCCCCGCCAGCGCCGCCGCCACCAGCAGCCGCTGCAAGCCCTTCCGGTTCCGGAGCCGCCCTCGCTGTTTACCATCCATATCCAAGCAACTGTCACTTACACCTCCACCTCCACCTTCCCCAACCTCCGGGTCTGAGCCCTTAAGGACCGGAGGTGGTGGCAGTAGCCGCAGTAGCTCGGGATCCAGGAGCTGGGCCCCCGGGTGCCGCAAGGCGTCGCTGACACAGGCAGCCAAAGCGGTCATCAGCTCTATCGTACCAACCGGTGCTACAGCCCCGGCCTCACCCTCACCCTCAGCTCCCAGCAGGGCTTCTGCCGCAGCGGATTTCACGGTGGGTGTGGTTTCGGCGGCTGCTACAGCCAGGGCCGCTGCGGCACCAATGGCGCGGCAGAGGGCTGCGGCGGTGTGGCCGCCGCCGCCGCCGCTGCTACTGCCGCCCCCCAGCAGGGGCCCTTCCGGCTCGGCGGCGGCGGCGCGGATCTGTACGACGAGGTGTCTCAGCGCGGCCCCCCAGCCCGGGTGTTCACCGTGGTGGCGGGTGAAGGCCGCCGCTGCTGCCCAGACCTACAGGATAGCCGGGATGGTGCAGGTGGGTGGTGGCGGTAGTGGAAGTGATGGTGAATATGAGGGAGAGGGGCAAGGGGAGGACGGGGGAAAGACGAACCACAAACGAGTGAAGCTGCTGCCAAGGAAAGAGAAGTAGAACTGACCAGTAGGCGGTTTTGAAGGAGCCGACCTCGGGATGATGACGACCGCGGAAACCTACCTACCTAGCCGCCAAGACTAAATTAAGAGCGGAAGAAAAGCAGTAGAGCGAAGCCGTAAAGAACTGATGACGTGAGCTGGAATAAAATTTGCCGCCGGCCTGGCGGCTGCAGAATTGACGAGGTTGGACCAAACTGGCTGATGAGCTGGTAATAATAAGCTGCCGGTGACATGCAAGTGCTCCTCCCAACCCCCCAACACGCGCCCGACCCGACCGACCCAACTATCCTAGTCCGGCCAGCCGACCGACGCAACGCGATACACCGACAAAGCTCGAACCTCCTCAGACTCACCTGGCCAGGCAGCAGAAGCAGCGGGCAAGGAGGGCACATGCGAGGAGGCAGAGAGGTGGCAAGGTTGTGAGCAGCGAATGATAAAGACAAGAACGCATGCAAATGCCGCTGAAAGGCAGTATTAAGCTGGCAGGCTGGGGAACCTTAAAGGGAATAAGAAGCCCTAAAGAACCTATGTGAAAGCGGAAGAAAACGCAGGGACTAAAAAGGAAACGGGGATGCAAACGCGGCGCAGGACGACACAGAAGGTGTCGTACGGGATGACGGAATTGACCACGGGATGACACATTGGACGGCGTGTACGGGGGCAGGAACGCAAAGAAAGGTAGAAATGGAGAACTGGGTTGGAAAGGACGCATAAGAAAGCCCAATGGGAGGAGAGGCAGTTGGTAGGAAGAGAAGCGCATGTGTGTGTGTGTGTGCGCGGGCCGGGGCCGCACGTGCCTCCCGCCAACCTGCGCACACTAGGAGCATGTGCATGCAGCCCCGTAGTGCCTCAGTCGTGGGGAAGGAACGTGGGGGAGGACGTGGGGTTTGGGGGGTTTGGGGACGAAAGGAACTCGGAGTTTGGTAGAGGGAAGTGGAGGGGTTTGGGGGGAATGGCGAACCACGAACGAGTGAAGCTGCTGCCAAGGAAAGAGTGTACAAGAAGCAGAACTGACCAAAAGGCGTTCTTGAAGGCGGCGACCTCGGGATGATGTAATGATGATGACCACGGAAAACTACCTACCTAGCCGCCAAGACTAAAAAAGCAGTAGAGCGAAGCCGTAAAGAAGTAAAGGTAGGTGTAAAGGCGGCGTTTGGGGGGAGCGGAAGGTGGGTTGGGGGAATGGAGGGGTTTGGGGAGGAGGGAGGGGAAGGTGGGTTGGGGGGAAAAGGAGGGGTTTGGGGGGGGAAGAGGAGCGGGAGGTGGGTTGGGGGGAAAAGGTGTGCTGAAAGCGACAAGCGCGCGATACGATGCAACTAGAGCTAATGCGGGAGGGTGGGCAGTTGTGTCGTAAAGAAAAGTGGAGAGTGGAGTAGCCGACGTAAAAGCCGAGAGAGGGCGCGCGTAGGGAAAAGGCAGCGTAGACAACTCCGTAAACACGGAAGAGAGCCGAGGGGGTGAAGTGTGAGAAAGAAAGGAGGGGAGACGTGGGCATCGTGCACAGCAAAGAGGTGATAGATAAGAAAAGACCGGGTAGGGTTATCAAGACTAATAGCACCAGCCATACGGAGCAACTACCCTGCCAGCAACGTTAGTCGTGCCGCGCCTCGTAGCACTTCACAGCGTTTCAGCGTGGCCGCGTCCGAGCTTCATCTGGCAGAACACGACGCTAGCGCTGGCGAGGCATAGCAAATAAGCGAAACCCATATCCAACTCCCGAAGTGCGGTGCAAGATGGCTGACAAATAACTGCGGAGTAACTCCGAAGTGAATGGCGGCTGGCTGTAAAATTCGGCTAAGCTGTAAAATCGATAGCCGTATAGTTGTAGAGCAGGTAAAACGTAAAGATATTACAGAACTGCCGGCTGTAGGGTGGGGGGAGGACGGATCAGTCGAGTATCCGACCCGTGGGACCCTGGCTTGGCCCTAGTGTGGAGTTAGTGTCCCTCCTCCCACTTGCCTCCTGCGGGACCCTGGCCCTCGACAGCTGACCTGCGGGTCCCTGGAGCGCCCCGCCGCCGTCAACACGCCCTCCGAAACCATCTGCCGCCACTCGCGCGCACTGCACCGGTCGCGGTGCGGCGCCAGCAGGGTCGCTGCCGCCAGCAGCGCCGCCGTCACGACCTGTGGGTCGTTGTCCTTCCCAGCAACGTTGCATAGAAGCTCCCGGCACACAGTCCACGAGCTCACAACAACACCGCCGCCGCCGCTGCTGCTGGCTGCAGCCACTGCAGCCGTAATATTTGCTTCGGACGCCTCCGTATCCGCCTGTCGTACGGCCTCGTCTCGAAGCTGGGCGTCGGTGTGCGCACCAAGTGGCGGCACATCCGCCGCCATCTGCACTGCAGACACGTCACCCGGGGCCCCGGCTAGTGCACCGTCCTGTGCGGCGGCCCCGTCCTCCTCCCGGCGGAGGACCGGACTTCCAGAAGATGGAGGTGTAGCGTCCGTTAGCTCTGGAAGAGAGAACGCCTCATGCAGCAGCCGTACAGCCGCCAGCCGGACCTCCGCCGACGGGGAGCGTAACCCGGGGATGCCCTACAGCAACACATACATACAAACATACATACATACGTGTGCTCCCGACCCTTGCGCTGTGTTTCGGCTTCGGCCCCCGGCTCTCGCGGCCCACAGTGTAATCTAAGTCATACATACATACATACATACATACGGCCTAAGTTGCTCGTGCAGCACCAGCCTGTAGACCCGTCCCTCCCTGGCCTTAGTGGCCAGAAGCAAGAACGAACCTTGAGGCTGGACCATAGCGGTCCCAGCAGCGGCGGCACTCGCGGTGGCGGCGGCAGCTGAACTGGCGGCTCCGAAACCGCTTCTGCCTCCGCTGGAGCTACCGCGGCCGTCGTTGTTGCCGCCGTTGTGCAGCAGCAGACGGCGGCGCGGAGTGCCTGCACTACATGCCGTTGAGTACCCAGCCATGCAAGTGCCCAGTCGTGTCGCACGGAGAGGTGATGGTTGCAGGCCGCACCTAAGGGACCTAGGACGTGTTGCGCTGCCCAGAACACAGCGTGTATTAACACGTCGCGTGCAGCGAGATTTAGAGTGCTGTGTCCCTCGTCGCGAGTGGGTGCCGGCGCCTGTCCGGCGCCTGCAGACGGCCCTGTAGGGGGCGCGCTCGCAGAGCAATCGCTTACGGGGTGCGAGAGGAGCTTTGTGGCTTGAAGGAGTTGGCTGGCTGCGTCCTCCGCCAGACATATGTGATGCCGGATGGAGTCGGCATGGATTTCGCGGCCGCTCAGCGCGTGCACGATATCAGCCCATAGCGTCTGCTGCGCACCGACATCGCAGATTTTATGCGCTGGGGCCACTTCTGGGGCTGGACCCGTGGCAGGGCGGCTTTCGATTGCCATGATGAGGATTTTCTACGAGCAAAAGCCCCCAAATTGGCGGGCTTCCAGGATGTAAACACAGCTCCGATTAGTAACGAGAATATAAACTGTTGTTTGCGCGTAACTCAATCGAGCCCGGATGCAACGATGCTTTCGGCTGTCGCGAAACGGATTCTTTCTTTCCACCCTAATTTTTCATCCGACAACTATACAGTTACACCGGTACCAGGTGTCTGTTATCATCATAATACAATGCATTGCAACAGACAACCTAGGCCTAGACCTTGAAAGTTCGTACAGCATTACAAAGGGGATTTGAGCGCAAACACAGTTAGCATCCTCGGTATCATACGATACTGTTTGTGCACCTAAAATTGCTAAGGGCTATTTTGGTAAAGGCCTTTCTAGTTGTAGTTTTCGGAGCTTTGTAGTCTTTCGAATAATAGGAAGATTGGAGTTTCATCGAGCAAACGTTCGCTTGCGTGAATACCTATCCGCTATGGGCCAATTAATGATTCACAAATGCTGCGTGACAGCAATGATGCTATCATAAAACGTCAATTTGCATCATCTTTGCGTAGTATGACATTTACAATCCATGCGCTACTGGGTGCGCAATCCGATTCACCTAAAGGTGCTGGATTTGGTCAGATGATTGCTGGCTTGCAGAGCTGGAGGTGGAACTGACGCGTACGGCACGCTCGTCCGCTGACATGGACTTGCCCGGTTGTCTTTGTCTGCGGGCTTCAAGTACCCACGCAATTACTTTTACAAAATATGCACTATTAAATCTCAAATTCAAAACGCTTGCATAGCTGACACCTGATTTATAAATTCACTACAATTTATGCAAAGGACCTTTATCATCGCACCAATTTACTCTTCGATGGCCCATTGCGGCATCCGTCCTCAAGTATGCCCAGTTTCTGGAACCTCACACGTTGCCCTACCAGTGCCTTCGCTGCACCTTTTTGCGCACGGTGCAAGTCCGCGAGGATGCGTGCCCCCTGTCCAAGCAGCAGCCTCCGCGAGTTTTCCGGCTCCCTTCGTCTCACCTTCCGGCACGCCGTCTGTGATAACTACAATGTCGCCTGCGCCTGCGGAGCCTTTCCTGAGTCGTTATGCGCTCGGAGACCCACTCGGACAGGTAATCCTTTGGCGGGTATCCATCAACATCCCCTCAATTTTACTTTTTGTATTACTTCTTTTTGAGATCCGAACCAATTCAGCAACAAAACCTCACAACCTGCGTCTTGCTTCAGGGCGCGATGGGGAGGGTGGTCTCTGCGACGAACCGTGCAACAGGCGAGGAAGTCGCCGTTAAAGTTGTCTGTAAACATCGGAATGCTGGTCGTCATCAGCGGTCAGCTTTGCACCGCGAGGTGGGGACCTTCGTTTCGGGCGTTAGCTGAAGCGGATTGGCCCTTTTGCCGAGTGTGCTGTAACACCCTGCCTCTCATGGCCAATTGATATACATTGTCGCCACATGCGAAATTGGCTCGTCATTCGCAGGCAGTGCTGTGGCGCAAAGCCTGCGCGGCAAGCCCGCAGGCTGGTCGCTTCATGAGTATCGAGGAGGACGCTAGCAACTACTACATCGTCTCAGAGAAATGCCACGGAGGCAGCCTTCAGCAAATGCTGGACGACCGAGGAGCGCTCTCTGAAGCGGAGCTGTCTCAAGTAGCTTGGTGAGCCTGAGCGTTGAACGAGAGCTGTTTTGACAGGCCTTTGGACCGCTCTCCCGTCCCGGTTGGAAAGGCCGCAAACGCCATCTTCACCACACTCCCTCCGTCGACCCCCGTCCTCCACAGTGCCCACTGCCTCAAAAAGTCCACGCCAATGATATGGTTCTTCTGCAGTGGATATGACGAATCATCACAGGGTATTCCTTAGCTCCAAACGCCCCCCACCCTCTTCTTCTTCTTCTTCTTCACGACCGCTTCCTGATCTGCTGCTGCCGGTTGCGACAGGTGCATCCTGACCTTCCTCACCGACCTCCACAGCAACTCTATTTACTACGGGGATCTCAAACCGGGCAACGTCATCCTGAAGGACGTGTACCCGTGTCACTCCGACCCCGGCTGCCTCAACGTTCGCGTTGTGGACTTTGGTTGTTCACAGCTCGTCACCCCCGGGTCCCCCCTCCGGTCCCTCTGCGGCTCACCACTGTTTCTGGCGCCGGAGATTATTCGGGGCTCGTACAGCCTGCCCGCTGACATGTGAGTCATCTGGTCGTACTGCCGTACTGCGCTCTGATGTATGTGTCGTACTATTGTTGTCCTAATTTCTGCATTGTTGTTTTTGCTTGTTTCTGTTGTTGTTGTCGTCATAACTGTTTTTTATTCGGCTTTCCTCTCCAATTGTGCTTGTCGTAACTTTATATACGGTGGACAGTGTCACTGATGTACATTATTATATGGTGGACATGTACAATCTGACCAAGTCATCAAATGCTAAGTACCCTTAGACCTGTAGACCAGTAGACCGCCATCATTTCTGTGGCCCTTCCCCTCCGACGCAGGTGGGCGTTTGGCGTCACCCTATACATGCTGATTTGCAATCGGATGCCTTTCTGGTTGGAGCCCATCGCCCAGCTCGAACAAACCCTTGATGAGGAGTCCATCAATTCGACCATCCTGTACAGCCCGGTGCTGTTCGCCGGCCAGCAGTGGCGCGGCGTGTCGGAGGAGCTCAAAGACCTCATCTGCGGACTGCTGGAAAAAGACCCTTCGCGACGTCTCACCGCCGCCCAGGCCATGCAGCATGCCTGGTTTACCACGGCCAGGGAGTTGTGTCTCGTGTGACGTCTGTGTGTGTGTCGCGTCATCGCCAATGCGGGAGAGGCAGCACCGAGGGTTAGGAAAGGAGAGTAACGAGCTCGCGAGTGATTGTTGGCTATGAAACGTACAGGAAAACTAGCCGGCTAGGAAGTCATGTCGAGAAAACAGATCCTTTTCTTAAACAGGAACAATTGCCTATTTTAACAGCGCTATTGTTATTGTTAGCGACACAGCTGGTCATAGTGCTCCTGTATGACCAGGAATGTGTGGCAGTCTAGGATAGTTCGGGCAAGGGCCCTGTTCAACATTAGGGATTGTTCGGTGTGTGTGTGTGTGCGTGAGTGAGAGAGAGAGAAAGAAAGGAAGAGGGATTGCTGCTGACGCAAATTCATGTTTACGAGTGTGCGAGTGCGGAAGTGACGAGCGACACACAGCAGGGTTGCAAGAGGGATGGGATAAGAGGGTGATTGGTCGATATGCACGGAGGGGAGGGAGGGGTACGAAAAGGGTTTTTTCTGCAGCTGGATGGCAGAGGTGTGGGGGCGCGTGTTGCCACAATTGCTTGATTGTGCCACAATCAAGCGCTAATAGGGCCGCGGTCATGGTCAAGTTTCGTCTTTCCTCGCATCCGAATGTTGCTGAGGCGCTATTCAGCTGTGGTGGTTGTGATGATGTGTAGCGGCCTGTGCAGCAGAGGTCGCCGCGTGCTCGTGTTATGTATGAGTGTATGTATGTATGTGTCTCCATGTCTGCGCAACTGGACTTCTGGCTAGGATGAGGGTCATGCTGTGGATGCAGACGACGGCATCACAAATATATAATATATATGATTTTTATCCCTTATGTCGCTGGCTCTTGTGTGTTGATGTCAGTGGTTTGACTGGTGATGTGGGTCTTTAAGGGCACTGTTTCTGAAGGTGTTTTACATGTAACGGAGAGTGTGGGAAGCGGCACACGGGGAGCAGCAGAACAGCAGCCAAAGCCCCGTGCATGGCCTGCTGGAGCTTTGGCGGGACAAATACGCGTCGATTTGGATTTGGGTATTGCGGTTTCGGAGTCTTGTCCTGTTTTTTTCTTTGTCTTGCGGGTTTTAGGGGGTGGCCTATTGTCTTAATCGTACCGTGTGCTGTACACCTGGCCGAGGTTTTGCCGTGTTAAGTAGTACGGAAATGAATGATGCTGTGGTGGGACCGCTGCTGTGATAGTTTTGGAGCAGAAAAGTCATTTGGAGTGTCGCCGAAAGGAATATGTCGTATATTAGATTATTCTTGATTCAGATGCTGAGGAGGTGACTTCAGAAATCCAAGATGTCGGCTATAAATTATTAATACTTGCGTTGATGCCTGGGTCTAAGGTGTCTGTAGGCTCGGCTGTGCGAGAGCTTTTTCTCGAGTAGGCGCTACGAAATCGTGAAATGCTATGTCTGCGTCCAAGTTTCCTAAATAGGCGCAGAGCTGGGATACGAAGCTTGCCGTTGTCTCGCGATGGCGATGATGAAGAGTGAGAGTTTGGTTTGAAGCTGAAATGTCGCATTTATGTGATGTTTGCTGACAATACATAATCCTCGACATGTACCTTCGCCGAGAGCTAGCGTTCATACATTTTTCCTGGTGATGCAACACTGGACAAATGCGCCGATTGTATTATTAGCGTGTATCACTATTACTACTACATTTGGACTGCATCGACGATGTGGGCGCAGCAGTCCTTTTAATTTGGGGGGTTGTTACGATGTACTACGGTATATTGTACGTGTATTGTACTGCACTACATGTACGAAGTAGTGGATGTAATCGTATGCTTCTGGGAGTAGTATTAGAGGCGGTCGGTAGCATGCGGGTAGGTTTAGGGGACATTAAGAACTGCCCGTGTTGGAGAGGTTTATGCGCGCGGCGAAAATGTTCATCGTCAGGTGCTTGCGGTGGTTCTCCTTCAGGGTTAGCGATATGACGTGACACGCGAACAAGGGTTATGCATGCATGTGTATGCAAGTATGTATGCGCGTGGAATCTTGTGCTGTCTCGTCTATCCTGCGGGAAAAGGATGCAGGAGGTTGTAGATCTGAAGTCGATCTTAAAAATAGTAAAATGGGAACATGCTTGTGTGTGTGTGTGTGTGTATGGACCGCTCGTGTCACCGTGGAATTGTTATTTCATACCTTCATATCTTTTTCCTCCTAGCGCTAACTTCTAGGGCTAATTGGATTTATCTGAGGGGAAAACAAAATTAGACATGTCCATCTCGATGTGTTTGTTTTGTGCCGTTTTTGCACTGCATTTGTGTTCTCTTTATGCGTCTCCGTCTTTTTCTCTCGTCTATGTGGCATGTATGGGCGGCTTCCGCTTTTGTTGGCGGTAGTAATGTATTTCGGGGCATTCCAAGAGAATTCGGACGCATTTCCGAACGGGCTGATTTCGTGCCGACCGTGACGGGAGAGGCTGTTACCAGTACTTGAGCCATGCTCGACGTCCCCGTCAACGGAGCACGGGGTTGGCGGGAGGCGGGGAGGATATAGCATCGGCCAGTCGGGGAAGAGGCGGGGGAGCAGAACTTGTTACTATTTGTCCGCCTCGCTTCTTCCCTCCCCCGCAGCCGCAACTGCCGGGCCCCGTCTCGAGAGGCGATGTGCACATGTGGTTGTTTGTTTTGAGATAGAGAGAATTATAGCTGGCCAACGCGGCTGATGCTACATGTAACAGTATTGACAGTACTAGGAAGAGGCACCTCGCCGTGCTGTAAGGGGGGAGGGGAGGGGGGAAAGACGAACCACGAGCGAGTGAGGGGAGGGGAGGGGGGGATTTCCTGAGACGGTAGTGAGGACTATGCCGATAGGGACTCTTGTGATGCTGTAAAGCCCACGACTGGGGCCGAGGACAGAGATTCCACGTCAATATAAATTAGTATTTAGCCTATAAACCCGAATAAATACCTGCGTCCCCAAGTATAGGAAGCTCCGAAGCTCGCCGCCCCGAAATACTTACGTGCCCCCAAGAACGTGAGATGCAAGCAGACGCCAACAACTTGCTATCTGTTTCCGGGAGTAAATCAAAGATAGGAGTAAATCTTAATGACTACGACTGAAATAGGGATTTCATTTTAAGTCGCCTATTACAGCTGGACTTGCAAGGCTGGCTGGAGTCCGTACCTTCCTACCATGCGACACCATTGTCCTACGCCGTACAGAGCGAGAAATCCTTGTGCGCAGTGACTCCCGCCTGCTGCCTTGAATCCTTCCCGGCGGCCGAGCTTGTGCAGGTGATGGAGCCAGCGGTGAGGCCTCTCTTTCCCTTCCTCTTTCCTTTCCTCCTTGGTGGATGTTGGCCCGTTGAGGCCAACGAGCACAGTGCATAGAAACGGAGGAGTGCGCTGCCGCGCAGTTGGTCCAATCCTCATATCAGCTGCTGCTCGGAGCAGGAGGCTGTTGATGCCGCGGCTTTTGCTGCGACTGCTGTGCTCCAACCATGTTTATGGTATGCGTAACATCTGCGTAACATCTGCGCACCTGTGCGCCATCCATCTCAGGTCTGAAAAAGGTCTCTGATTAAAAGCTAGGCAGCGGCAAAAGCTCTATCTGCGCAAGAATATACCCACAGGAGGTCTATATATATGTACTTATTATTCCGCTCCGAAGCGCATGGAAGTTTGGGAAATTTGGATTGAGGTGCGATCATCAGGTCATGCATGGAGAGCAGGAGTACACGCAAGATCGCTAAATGTCGTCCATCTTCAAATTGCAAATTTAAGTTGTAATTTTTATGATTGCATTTTCCTCAGCTGAAAAACCGACGAGGACGAAACCGATGCGAACGACGTGTCAAAGTCGGTCAAACTCGGTCAAAGTTGTTCTCGGGTGTCAGACTGGCCGCAGGATTAAACAGGAAGATAGTCCTCATCAATCCTCAAGTGCCATAGATGTATTTGCATCGATGTTGAATCACGGTAATGATAAGACGTCTAGATGAGCCTGATGTATCGATATGCGAAGCGCAATGGAGGGCACAGAGGGGATGTCTGGCCTGGTGCGGCAGACATGCAGACGAATAGTTTACCGCTTTGTAGTTGTTTAAGGATGGAAGTATGACGCCCTTGCCCCTTCGCTGAGCTCCGAGGGAAAGTAACCATTCACGTCTGGCAATGTATGGCTTCAATTGTCCAAAGGGAAGCTACTGCAACTTGGACGGAAGCTGATCGGGAAGGAGACACGCCGAAACGTCGCCAGACAGCTTGGGAAAACGTTATCGCCCATCTTAATCCAATTTTTAAACAGAAGATATGGTAACATGGGGGAGGTCTAAGGGTCTGGAAAGGTGAGGCCAGGCCAGGCTGGCCTAAATCATCGGTCGTTCGAGCGCGCGCGTGCAAGCGTTATGAGTGTTGACGAGCGCCGGTGACCACCGGTGGCTGTTTCAGCTGCGTTCGTCGCAAATAGGGGGAGCCGTCCGGCGCACGGCGTGGATTAGGGAAGGTGAGTTCGAGGTTTGACAAAGGGAGGACGGGATTCTTACCATGTCTACCAATACAGTACTGCCCTCTTTTCCGTGCAGCTTCCGCCTGCCTGGCATACGCAACCACAGCAAGTTTGCGAGCAAGCGTGAACTTTGGTCACGAAACAAACGCCTTTGCCTTTGCCTGGCGCCTTTGCCCGTTTCAGCTCCAACAGGAGCTGTGTATTGAGATGCTGGTCTTCGGAGCGTTTGCCAGCGAGCCAACGAAGAACGGTATCGTATCTTGTTGCGAACGCCTTTGCAGTTTTGCCTTAATTGTAATTTTATGTACGTTGACTTCGTTTTGACAGACCGTGAGGCACAGGTAGACAAGGTGAAGGAAACGAGTACGTGACTAATTTAGGCCTTCATCAGGGAGTACGACCCAAGAAGGACGACCTAACCTAACCTGACAAGGCCTGCACACTTTAGCTTCATATAGCTTATATTTTGTATTTCATTAAAATTTCGTTGATACCCTTTGAAATTAAGTTGAAACCAGGAGGTACATGTAATAAGTAAAGTCGGTCATCGTGAAAATAAGGCGTGGCAGCTTATCATAATATCACAGAGCCGTAGTATCATGATCTTCAACCAATAATCAACACATGCATGTAATAACTGGCGATATGAGGTAACAGCAAAATGTTTCCCGGAATCATGAAGGTAAAGGGATTTTATTTGCTGAGGACAACTTTCTTCTCAGGTCACGAGTATTGGCTCCGACCATGTGGCGACGGCTAGCGGTTCGCGTCACGCTGGTGGTGTTCTTTGCCTTGAGCGTCGCAGCCCAGCAAAGAAATATCACAGGACAAGCGCGCGTGGTCGACGGTGACACGCTGGTAAGTCCTGGCGAATGAACCTGACAACCAACACGCTGCATCGCGCTGCATACGAACCTTATCCATGAGCGCTGCGCGGAATCTAACTCTCAGTTCGCTAACCAACCGCAACCAACTTTCAGGCCTTCCCTAACGATCGGGTTCGTCTGTACGGTGTCGACGCGCCTGAAAGCGCCCAAACTTGCCTTGATGCCCGCAATGCCTCCTACGCATGCGGCATTGTCAGCAAGGAAGCATTCGCGAAGAAAATTGGCAATTCATCGCTCACATGCATCGTGAAAGATGTCGACATGTACGGACGGAGCGTATCCATTTGCGGGCTCACTAATAGCTCTGGTGCTTTCGAAGATGTGAACGCATGGCTTGTCGGAAACGGCTATGCGCTCGCTTACAGGTAAGGGCCGCTCAGGTCGTGGCCTTTAGGTGCTGGTTTTTCAAAAGAAACGAACAGCACAAAAATTTGATGGAATTTAAACAGAAGCTTTGAGGAAGCTCTTAAGAAGCTGTTCTACGGGATGGCATATTAATAAGGCACCTCTGACCTTGCTTTAGAAATTCGCAGGCTATATCTGCGCTTCAAAAGTTTTAGGTTTGCGGCTTTACATGTATCAGTCCTAATTGGAGGGATAGATATGAGGAATTCGTACATTCCTGTACATTTGACATCGTACATGACAGGCAATATAGCAAGCTCTATGTGCCGCAAGAGGACCGGGCGCGGCTTGCACGTCTTGGTGTGTGGCAAGGCATATTCCAATACCCTTGGTATTGGCGTAACGCTGACTCACCGCCACCACCTTCTACGGCGCCTCCTTCGGCCGTCAAGCCTCCGTCGCCGCGGCCTCGACCACCTTCACCACGGCCTCAGCCACCGTCGCCGAAACCTCGGCAACCGTCTCCACCACGGCCTCGGCCACTCTCCCCACCGCCTCCGCCACCGTCGCCCTCCCCACCGCCTCCGCCACCGTCGCCCTCCCCACCGCCTCCGCCACCGTCGCCCTTCCCACCGCCTCCGCCACCGTCGCCCTTCCCACCGCCTCCGCCACCGTCACCCTCCCCAGCGCCTCCGCCACCGTCGCCCTTCCCACCGCCTCCGCCACCGTCACCCTCCCCAGCGCCTCCGCCACCGCTGCCATCCGTGCCTAGCACCTGCGGTGACCCGGTTCCTAGCTGCCCTGGTGGCCCTGCAATCAAGGGCAACATTGCCTCGAGCGGTGAAAAAATATACCACGTCCCTGGCGGCAGATACTACAACTCGGTGTGTATTGACCTGAAGAGTGGCGAGAGATTCTTCTGTACGGAATCTGAGGCCTTGGCAGCCGGTTGGAGGCCCTCCTCGCAGAGGTAGCGACACAGCTGAGGCCTTGGCTGGCGTTTGGTTGTTCTGCAGAGAGATGGTGACCATTTTTGTAAATACGTTAGCTGAGCAGACATGCCCACCTGCTTATCTCTTATCTATGCTTCGTGCCACCTATAAGCTGCCTGAGCCAGTTGCTCGCATATGTATTTGGCATTTTCTCTCTGGAAAAACAAAAATCGATCCCGACACTGTACGAGATGATGAAATCCCTAGACCATAAGACTCCATATGGCGGTGAATGCGCCGCCTTGACGACGGATGACGATGGTGGAATCGATGGCAGCATGGACTCAGGGTGGATTCTGTGGTACGGATCTCCTGTGACGAGAGATTTTCCAGCACACAGCTAACTCCACCGCTGCTTGTGGCGACTAAGCCACTGTGTGTTAATGCACGCGGAGAGGCAGTGTCACGCCATATGACGTGCTAACAGACACAAGAAATGCGGATGGATCTCAATGAACCAACTGTCCGTAAGGTCTCTGTTTCCACCGGCTTTTATCTACTGCCTGTGTGAAGGTGAGGAGCGTGTGAGCGTTGCATATACCAAGGACTTGTGAGTTGCAGCACAGAGCTGCTGATGGCTATGGACCCTCCATAAGCCCCCTTCAGGCTCTTACGGACGTCCATCCCCGCACTTGTGCGGAACTTGTAACACAACGTGACAGCATGTATGAGTGCGCAGCGACTACCAAAAGCGATGAAAATTTCACTATCTGTCACGCGCACTGAATGCTGAAATGAGTGAATGAAATGCTAGAGTACCGTACCGGACTAGCTATGTAGATCACAGCTCCCGGGAGCCTTCTGCGGCGCTCATCGGCAGAATGGGGTTAGCGCACGTTGTGAGAGGGGTTGCAACCACATTTATAACACGGCGGAAGCACATCTACCGCGTAAACAAAACGCTACAGACATACATACGAACATACTGGAATGGCTGCCACATACGCATGCATATACATTACAGGCAGGCGGCTGGCAGAGGTTAAGGCCTGACTTCTGCTCCCGGTCGACCCAGTCGACCCGGGTTCAAATCCGCCTGCCGGCTCCTCGGGTGTTTGAGGAGTGATGAAATGGGAGGTGGCCCCCCATCTTATGGACGGTGTAGGACGTGATAATATCAACTTGCGAGCTGACCAGGAACTAAGTTGATGCGCCGTTGATCCGCTAGATTTGGTTGGATGCTGGTGGTGAGTTGCCGAACCCAACGAATACATTCTGAAGTCGGATGGGGTGACGGATTAGGGTGCCCCTCTAGCAGGGGAGAGCAGGGACTGCCCCGGGAAAGGGGGCCGCTGGCGAAGTTAACCACCCTGTAACAACATATGCACATACACCCCCACACACGTACTCAGAACGTAGGCGACACGTTGCTTCATCGACCCCCGCATAACATGCAGGTCTACAGCAAAACATGCACACATGCGCGCGCTACTGACACAGGCGCACACAGTCCATCCATCAGCCAGCACAATCACTGCACGTGGCTCACGTGGGCTTACAGGCGCGTCCCCCACACACACCACCACACACAAGCATTAGATCCTATTCCACAAGTAAATAGCCACATCCACAGTAATAATCCGCAACCGCAACAATCTCTGAAAGCTGAGAGCTTCCGTCCCACCCGATGCTGGCCTCCTGGATCCCTTACCCAGCTAGCGTCATTCAGATCACTTTTCACCCGCCCCCATGCGTTGGTCAAAAGCAAACAGTTTGAACTAAAGACTCTTTCCAGGGTCGCCACAGTATTGTGCTAATATTCTCACAAAGGCCTGCAATTTCTTCCCATTACTCTTATTACTAAAGTCCGCAAAGTGCGGTCACTCGATCACTGTGCGCCCCGGCGGCGGGGGGTTCTCATCACGATCCCGAGTCGTCATCTTGATGCATCAGGTTCTCCCGGTAGTTGTAGTCGTAGAACTGCTTGACGTCGGACAGCGTGGAGAAGAAGATGCCGCTCATGCCGCTGACCGCCAGGTCCTCGGGTGTGATGCGCGCGGTAATCTGCTCACGCACGATCACAACACAGCACAACACAGCACACCCCGGCGCAGGCATTGGCAAAGCAAAGACCTGAAAACACGCACATAGTACAAGCCGCGCGCGACAGCCACGCAGGCTACGCCGCGGATTAGTTAAGCCGATGCAGAAAAAAGACTCCACAGCCGCGCATTGCCATGAATTGCCATTCCTCACGAACACACGCAGCGGCGGCAGCAGGAGGAAACATTGCTGCACCCGCCGCAAGCATGCATGGATGACACATGCATCACAAGCGTGGGAGGTGTGTGGTCGCACCTTGGGTTTCACCATGTCCAGCATCTCATCCACCACGTCATAGATGCTGAGGTCGGCGTACTCGTTCATCACATGCACCCACATGTAGTGAATCTCCTTGAAGAACGTGTAGATCTCCGCCGGGGATATGTAGCCCTGCCGCCGGGTGTATGTGTGTGTGGGGGTGGGGTGGGGTGGGGTGTGGGGGGGGGGAAATGGGGGTTTCCACGTGGTCCGATCAGGGGTGGGAGAGAGGCAGCAGGCGGCCAACACAAGGCAAAGCATGAAGAGGGTAACGCAAATAGGGGTTACTGTGTTACTGTTACTGCTGTTGTTACTTAACAGCAGCAGCAGCAGCAGCAGCAGCAAGATGGTCACAAATGTCCGTAAACTTTCTGTTATGGTCTACAGGTCGTTGCCCAGTACAAGAGACATGGACCTTCCTTATCTAAAACACCACGGCGCCGTCTACCGACCGCAATGACGTCCATGGCGCCAATACAAGAGGACTACGGACGGGGGCATAGGGGACTTACCTGCTTCTTCAGGTCAAAGATGTCAAAAAAGTACTTGATGGCTGCGGGGTGTGAGCGGTGGTCCCACGCGAGCACAAAGTCCGTGAAGGCCAGCATGTCCATTTCATCTCTGACGGAGGAGGGGAAACAAAAGCAGTCATGGGTCAGAAGAGGAGGACCGGGACCTGGACGTGGAATGAGCAGCAGAGAGGGGAAGGAGGAGGATGGGGCAGTGGGGTTTGGAGGAGATTACGATTGTAAAATCAAAGAGATGTTTTAAACACACAGTGTTCCAACCTCGGCAAACCTCCGCTTCTCCTTCCATCAGACAAGGGCACCGTAATCCCAGTCCGTCCTCACCACATACACACACGCACATACATATGCACATACATATGCACACACACATGCACACACACATGCACACACAGACACATGCACACAGACACACGTTACCTGTGGACCGTGCGGCCCTGCACAACGCGCATGCGCATGACGTGTTCCTCAAAGATGCGTGAGATGAAGAGCGGGGACATGGTGCCGTTGCTGATGGCGGTGAACTCTATGCGACTGAGGAGCCCGTTCATATCCTCATCCAGCGCTAGGAACGTCTTGTACACACGCTGCGTCGACTGCAAAACTCCTCGTGTGATTGCATGGCAGGGGAAGCAGCGGCACGCGGAAAGGGGGAGGAGGGGAAATATGAAGGCTGTGAAACACACCGTGAAGAGGACGGACAGTAGAACCTGGGTTCCTGGGTCGGTCAAAACGCCCTTGCGTGTCCCCGTGTGGCCAAACACGCTACGAAGGACGGTTAGACCCGCTGTAGGCCACTGCCTGTAGAGGGGCGGCAGCTGAGATTGTTACTGCACTGGCGAAGCCCGCATGTGGCGATTGTTGCTGCGGTGGTGCGATCAAAACATTCCATTGCAGCGGTGCGCCATGGCCCCTTCCAGATCCCAGCTCCACCACTCCCTAGACGTTAGCAGCCATACTATATCCGACCCATGGGACGTCGGCCCATCCGGGTTGGCGGCACCGCGCCGGTTGGCGCTTCACCTGAATCGAAAACCAGTTAGAGATGAGCTGGTGCTCTTGCAGCTGGTTGTTCTTCAGCTCGTTGAGCTCCTGCGCAGTGGCAAGGAAAAAAAGAGGTCAAAAGAGGTGTTCAGGGTCGTGTGCTATGGTCAGCTCTAAGCGACTGCAATGCGCCATCCTGCTCGCCAGCTCCCCGCTCGCGGCTTCGTGTATGTATGTCGTTACAGGGTGGTTAAGCTTCACCAGCGGCCCCCTTTCCCTTGGAGGCAGTTCCCTGCTCTCCCCTGCTAGAGGGGCACCCTAATCCGTTCACCCCATCCGACTTCAGAGTGTATTCGTTGGGTATAAATTATACAGCATGCTGCACAGGGGTTGGGCCGGTCAGGGCCCTGCCAACAGGCACACCCGGCACAAGGGATAAGCAGTAGCGCACACACGACGCATCAGCCCACAACGGGTTGACGGTCCTGGGCGGGCGGACGTACACCGCCGCACGTACCGCCAAACTCCCACAGACCGCAACCATCCCCTCCGCCGCTTTCCAACCCTCCACCTCGCTCTTTCGCAAACCCCTCGTAAAGAGAGAAAAAAGGCCTAGCCTCAACCCCCGTCGAGCTTCTAGCTAAGTTCCTCCTTTTCCCTGATCCGCCAACCAACCCCACCTGCAGCACGATGCTGTTGACCAGGTCCCTGATGCGAACACAGCCGTTCTTTCCGTGGAAGAACAGCAGCTTGCGAACCGCGATGCGGCCGTAGTGATCCAGAAAGTCCGGCTGCGCGGAAGAAGAAGCGAGGGGGTGAGCAACGGGGTTAAATGGAAACGGACTTACACCACACGCGCACACCGGACTCAGCAAGCAGAGAGGCAAGGGCGCGTTGGCGAGGAGAGGGAAGGCATGGGATGGGGACAGGAAGGAGATAGAAGCAAGAAGCTGCCTTTTGCGCGAACAGCCGCCGCCAAGCTCTGACGGCAGCCACCGCTCCTGCGTGCAACGCGCAAAGTGGTCCCTCAAAAATCACGACGGTCACGCCGGGGGGACCTAACCTGGCTTGCAACCCCCAAAAACTTGCCCGCCAACCCAACGTGTTCAATCCTAAAAAGTAGTCCAACCCTCCATAAACCTGTATTCACCTCCATTTACCCTCCCCATCCCCTATCCCTACCCATAGCTCCCCCTCCCCCTCCCGCACCTGAATGTCCGACAGCGCCGGCACCTGCGACACCAGCGACTTGACGTACTCCTCCAGCTGCTCGGTGGTCAGGTTGCCCGTGTTACCCAGGTCGAAAGCGGATAGCTCCAGACGCTGTCATGGCGGACAGAAGGGGGAAAGGCGGGGGAGGAGGCAGTGATCAGGAGGCGCGCGGGGGACTGCAGTGAGGAGCTCAGACGGGGGGCTGAGACACGTCCCGATGAAGCGCGGACGGACTGACAGACGGACGGACGGACGGACTGATTGACTGACGGACCGACGGGCTGACTGATAGGTAGCCGATTGGATACACAAAGCCCAAAGTTACACCATTGAAGGGTAGAGCAACACAACTTGAGGGGTAAAACACACACACACGCATGCACACAACCGAAGGGATACAAAAGCCCCGCCCCCAAAGGGCCGCAAGGGCCACTCCGCCACCCACGCTGCTTACATTCTGGTGCATGGAAGTCCGCAAGTTAAGGTAGTTGAGGAACTGGTTGGCTGAGATGCAGCCGTTGTTGTCCCGCTCAAACTTGAGGAACAAGGACGCCTTGAAGTAGGGGTCGATCTGGGGCCCAAAGCATTCCCGGCACCGCACCAGGACCTGTGCTGCGCCCCCCGGGGGGCAGGGGGGCAGGGGCCCAGCAAGGCGAGAAGGTAGTCCGGGGGACCCGGGTGAGGGCCGGGGGGAGAGGGAGGAGGAGGGGGAGAAGGAGGAGGAGGAAGAGGGGGAGGATCAGGAGCAATCGAAGCGGCAACCCAAGAGCGCAAAGGACGGAGTTCAACTGCTCCTGTGACTGAATGAGTGGCACCAGCAGCCGCCAACCCCACAAGCAGCAGCCCACCCCGCCAGCCACAATCCTTAAAACACGACCCGCTGCATGCTGCGTGCTGTATGCTGCGTCGTGCCGTACATACTCGGAAGGAGCCTACTCTGAGCCGTCACTTTTTTGTCGTCCGCGTCACCCCATGTCCCACACATTCCATACGTGGCACGTGAGGCGCCATACCCCCCCCCTCTGTACCTGCGAGAAGCCATCGTAGTTGATGCGCACCTCCCCGTTGGTCTCCACACCCATCTCCTTCATCAAAAACCAGATGTTTCGAAGTTCCTCCTCGGAGAGGAGGAGAGTTTCCTGAACGGGGAGAGGCCGCTTCTGACTTCAGCGGGGGTGCTGGTGGTGGCGGTGCTGGTGGTGGTGGGCGCAGGGCGGAAATTAAAAAAAACACAGGGTAATAACGAGGAGGGATGTGCGGTGTTTATACTGTATATACTGTTCCACGAGTGGAATGGTCGCGACTGCGCGGTTGTATCGGCTAACAGACACGCAGACACCCGGCGTGAAGCTATCGGCCCCGTAACGGACATGTAACCCGAAGCGCACTGCGTCAGGGCTGGGGGAGCTATGGGCGCAGGACGGGGAGGGGAATGTAGGCAGACGCACCGCACCGCAGTGCGACGTGTGTGTGCGCGTGCGTGTGTGTGTGTGTGTGTGTGTGTGTGTGTGTGTGTGTACGGGTGCTTGCATGCGCCTCGTCTGGCAGCCACACATCTGTTTACTGTTAAACCTATGGACAAGAATCGGTGGTCATAAAGGCCCTAAGGCTTGGGCGACGGGTGTGCCGCGGCATGCATGGAAAAACACTTGATTTCTCAGTGCACACCTGGTCCTTACGACGCCTAGCCTCCCGCTCCACCAGCAGCCGCAGAGACTGAGGCTTTGCCTTCTGCGTATTTGCAGCAGCGCCACAGTCAGCGGACCTACCATTGGAGTAGACGCAATACAACTGCATGCAAGGAATGACAAAACTAACCGGCTTGAAGAACGTTGGAATCGCAGATGCCGGCTTTTTCTCTTCGTAATATTGCTCGAGTATGCTGGTAACATTTTGGAGCACTTCTTGTTCTGTCAAGACAGGTTTACACGTTGGTCATACTGCAGCTGTCGCGGAACCTGCTGAACAACATATGTCTCACATACCAATATCCTCCGGCTCTCTATCGGGTTCCGGGTGATCCCTAACAAATCCATTAAGCGATGAAAGCAACATTCCGATTAACCGAAGGCTTGAACCGCCCGGGCACGTAACACGCTTAACCCAGGCGGCCCTTGGAAATGGCGGACAGCAGTATCCGTCCCAAATATAAGGTGAATGACATGAAGGTATCTGAGATTTTTCTGAAACGTTTCTAACCTGCTTATGTGTAGATTGCTAAAGAGCAGTCATGGAGTAAGGCAAGATTAGGTACCGTAATCAACAGTTACGGATTGGCAGACTTATAATGAAAACTAAGCCCTCTCAGGTTATCCAGCTGGCCAATATCTTGTTGTACGCTTCGGTTGGGCGGTTAGAAGAGCGCCTCGTTGTGCACCATTGTCAACGGCATTTGATATCGGGATGAGCTTCATTTCCACACCTGGCAATAGTTTACTGTAAATACCCGCTGTAGCACGCCTAGGCACGCCTACGTTAGCTTGCTGGAAGTCAGCTACAATGGCGACGGCTGATACCGAAAGGACACTTGGAGATCCGGGTCAAGGGATAGAACGTAAATCTGTAAGTTTCTCCTGTATGGGCTTCGTTGTACGCCTCGATCTTAATCATTGATGCGCAATTCCTGTCGAGCCATGTGGGTCGTGCCGCGACGGGGTATTACTTGAGCTCGCCTTCGCTACGATGCATTTGCGACGACACGGTAGCAACACCAACATTACCCATCATAACCCTGTTTCTCACGACTCGGGTCCATCGTACTACTGCATTTGAAGGTTTTACCAGCCTTCAAGCTTGAGGTGAGCGCAGACAAGAATCGCATTATGCACAGGCCCTGAGCAACGCACGCGCATGCCTTTCATGGTGCAACCACTTTAACTACCGGTCAATCCAACAGCTAACGACGCGGTATGGAGCACGATGGCAGCACGATGGCGATCTTGACACAGCGCATGTTACCCGCACACAGCTAGCCCAGCATATGGATCTTCTCCGCACTAGGAGAGCCGCGCAAAATTCACCAAATTCACCTTTGTCTTGCAAAAACAGCAGTGCCTGTGCCTCTGGCTTTTCCTAAGTATTTAAATTTCTTCTTTCCAGAGGGCTCTTAAATCCGACAGCCTGCAGTAGCCAGCCGACCAAATTCTCCGCATGCTGCCAAACCAACAAGGATGCCAACTTCGCTCCCCACATGACCTTATGCAGCGTTACTTTGCGAAATGGGAGTTCAAAGCGCCGCACCTGCTATGTTGCTCCGACTGCGAGCCGGTGCTGCTTTCAGAACTCCTGAGCCTCATGGACGGCGACAGCCGAGCCCGGTAGGTGCCGTACAGCGCAATAAACGCGCTCCCGAACCTTGGTGGTATCTGCAGCATCACCGTAATCCAAAAAGCAAGAGAGACAAGCTCTTCGGATTCGCGAAGATTCCGCCACTCGCTCTCGGCAGCAGGACGGGGAGAGGGGTCCCACTTGCAGGAAAACTCCACTTCACCAAATTTAGGCGGCACAGGACCCCGCGTGGAAGAGGGAAACCGCTTTTGTACTGTGGCTTAGGTACGACGGTGCCGTACGGCTCCATGCCGTACGGCTCCGAGACCATCTGCCAGCTACGGTCTACATTGTTAGACAATGATAGTGTCAATCGGATACGCGGCGCCTCACCCTGTGTGCAAAACACCCGAGTAGGTGAGGAGTTGGTCGCCACTGGTGCGGAGTCGCGAACCGCTAACGGTAAACCGCCAACCAACCCTTGTTGGAGCAGGTGGGAGGGCTTACGGCTTAGCTATGGGGAGACGCGAGGGCTACCGGTGAGTGGTGCAGAGGCCGGTGGGCGGGAGTGGGGCGGGAGTGGGCGGGTTGGTGTGAGTGGGGCGGCGGCTAATGGACACAGTCTTGACGGCCCTCTGGCGGTTACATATCATGTGAGGATTCACACGTAATGTGGTGTACGGAACCCACAGCAGCTTATATAGGCAATACATTAGATTAGAGGGTCAATGATGGAAGTAATGGCATGCATGGCATGATGACGCCGTCCTCCTCCTCTCCTTCCCCCTCCCCCCTCGGCACTTCCTTAAATGGCTGGTTCACAACTCTTAACCCCGTACGGCTTTTATGACCCGCGGCCGCCCCATTAGGCGCTGATTGAGGAGATCTGTAAACTGTACGAACAAGTACGGCCTGAAGGTGTCCTCGTTAGTGCGCCGCAAGAATGTAAGTCAAGGGCTCGCTTCTGTGCCCATGTCTCCCTGTACATATGTCAGTTTTTGTCTGCCTACCCGCCTGCCTGCCTGCCTGCCTGCCTATCGCCGTGTCACCCAGCGTCCTCCGCGCTGTGCTCCCGTCCCCCCTCTCCCTCCTCCTCTGTCGCATCAACTCGGTCGACGCCTCTTCCTCTCTTGTGCCACCCTTGTGTGTCAGTCTGTCTGCCTGTCTGTCTCTCGCGCGCTCGGGTGCCAGCACATACCCGCATGTGCACACCCGCACCAGGAGCCTCCTCCCTCCTCCCTCCTCCGCCACCTACTGCCCTTATCGTGTCCGATGTCTGCCTCCGTGTGACGATGTACGGCCCCGCACACACGGCGCTATTTCGTACTGGACACGTACCGTATGCTCTTTTTGGAATGGAGAGGTCCACAGTCCATGGTCCCGAACGCGCGAACGCAGAACCGGTGAAGCTCTTTCTGCAGTAATCGCAATAAACGCTCTTGTTGGCGCCTACCTAGGCCGAATACTTTGACGTGATCCCATTCAGGCGCGGGGCTCCTTTCCCTCCGTCTGCCAGTTTATCGCTACATCGCTTCATCTCCTCTACATCCTGACCCAATCTCGCCCCTCCTGTCTCCCTCCCTGCCTTCCCTTGTCCTGGCTCCCGCCCTGCAAGGCATCTACCTGGCCATGATGGCCCTCCTGCAGCCGGGGGACCATGCGGTAGGTCGGGGTGGGTCGGACGGCCGCATTCAGCCGCCTGTCGCACACGCTGCCACATTCACAATCTGGCGCCCTTCCAGGCTTCACAATGTGCCGTCTGAACGCATTCCTGTTTGCCGTCTTCACCCTGCCGTACCTATGCCGTACAGGTGGTCACTTACCCGGGCTACCAGTCTCTTTACCAGGTGGCTGAGTCACTGGGCTGCCAAGTGGACCTGTGGGAGGTGGAGCTAGGGGAGGATGGCAGCGCCGGCTTTGACGTGGGGAAGTTCAAGGTGAGTGCCGTACTCTTGCCATCCTCCACTTGACTCTTTGCTGCTGTTGCTGCTGTTGCGGCTACTGCTGCTGCTGTTGTTGCGACTACTGCTGCTACTGCTGCTGTTGCTGTTGTTGCTGCTACTGCAGGCACTGCTGCGGCCAACCACGAAGCTCGCAGTCGTCAACTTTCCGCACAACCCGACGGGTGCGCTCCTCCGTGCCGCCGAGTGGTCGCAACTGGTTGCGGCATGTCGCGGGGTGGGGTGCTACCTCTTCAGCGATGAAATGTATCGTCTGCTAGGTGAGGTACGGAGTGAGTGAACCCGCGAGTAAGCGGCGGCTGTGATATTAGAGCTATTAGAGCTGCTATGATTTTTCGTGTCGGGGGTTGACTCGATGACCCCAATGACCCAGAAGTTGTTGTCGGTTACCAGATGGGGGTCGATCTTCCCCTGTGTACGCAGAGTTTGACCCGGCGGCTCGCCTGCCAAGCGCGGTGGATGTGTACGACAAGGCCATCACGCTGAGTGGACTGTCCAAGGTACGACAATGGCGACGTACGACAATGAGAGGAAGATAGCCGCAACCGAGTAATGGATTTGCAACGGCAGCAACAATGAGACAACACACTCATGGGGAGAATCACCAAGTGTCACCGGCTCAGCGCACCACCATACAAAAGGCGTCCGTACAGCGTCCGTACAGAGGCACCTAACTCTTTTTCCTGCTGCTGGGTAGTGCACTACGTGGAAAGCCCCTGCCGCCGCCTGCCGTCTCATCACTCGCTTTGCCGGAATGTAGTTCCGCTCATGAACTTAGGGTTTTACTTTAATTCATCTTCCGCAAACACACAAAAAAACACAAAAAAAACACAAACACATACAAACACACACAAACACGCACAAAAAAACAAAAGAAAACAAAATACACAAAAACACATGCACAAGGTGCCCCTGGCCAGTGTCAGGGCCGGATTGTAGTAGCTGGTACACAGTACGGCTCTACAAATACGCGCGAAGCGCGACCACCAGCATCTCGATGTATATGTGTATTCCTTCCTGGAAAGCATGTATATCCTCAAGTGTTCCAAGTTGAAGAACAGCAGCAGCGAGAAAAGAAAAGGAAACGAAACCGCTGTCCCGCTAGCGCTCACACTAGGACTAGCACAACCCTACCCGGTCACTTGACCGACACCGACTCCTTGCCGACATCGTCCTGCCTTCCTGCAGGCGTTCGGCCTCCCGGGGCTCCGCATTGGCTGGCTGGCGATGCAGCCGCCCTGCTACTCGGTCCTCGGCCGCGCAGCGGAGCTCAAAGACTACACCACCATCTGTAATGCGGTTCCAAGTGATGTGGGTTCTGGGTGGTGATGCGGAACGGGGCGGGCTGGCGCCGGGAAATGCTCCCCATCCACACACTTAAACTGCTAGAGCTGCCGCGGCAGTGAACCCCCACCGCCCACAGCACCGGGCTGGCCTCACTTCCCCCGTTTCCCCAACACCAGAACAAAGACGCGCCGCTGCAAGGTCCCCGTTATGCCAAGGGCCCGAAGCAATGCGCCCGAAGCCTACTAGCCCCACGGCGCTAAGCAAGCATCCCCCCCGCCTCCACCACTGTGAGCATGTTGCGATTATCATCCAAGTCCATGTTGGTTCCCGGTGCCCGCACAGCCGTCCATGCTTCCAGAATGTCTCTCACGCAGGTCCTGGCGCTGGCGGCTCTGCGTTCCAAGGACGCCCTGCTGCACCGCAACATGACCATTCTGCGGTCCAACCTGAGCGCGGTGGAGAGCTTTATGGGGGAGTTTGACCATATCTTCCGGTACCGACCGCCCGCTGCCGGCTCCGTGGCATTTCCCCGGTGGGTGGGTGGGTGGGTGATTGACATGTGTGGATAGGCTCAGGTTTGGTGTGTGTGTGTGTGTATGTTTGTGTGTGTGTATGTTTGTGTGTGTGTGTGTTACATGGTCGTGGGGTCGCGTACCACCCCGTACCAGCAAATCGCCCAATACGAGCCGAGGGCTCAAGGGCTGCCACCTTCTTCAAGCCCGTCCTAACGCTGTCCTGCAGGCTGGCGGCATTGGCGACAGACAACCAGGAGAGCGTGGAGGAGTTCTGCGAGCGGCTCGTAAACGAGTGCGGTGTGCTGCTGCTCCCGGCCACAGTGTACGACCATGCGCCGAGCAGCACCGGGGGGCATTTCCGCATCGGGCTGGGCAGGCGGGACCTCCCGGGGTGCCTCGACGTGTTTCGGAGCTTCTTAAGGGAGCGGGTGCAGCGGCCACAACAGTAGTACCGGCGGCAGCGACAATAGTGACGCACCATGTGTCGCGGTACTGGCAGGGCAGGGAGCGGCAGCAAGCAGTGGAGGGGGAATGTAAGAAGGGACGGATGTATGAAGGAAGGGAGGCAGGGATGTATGGCCCTACGGCCCTATGGCATACATTTGACCGGTCACCGATCGGTCACCCGGCCCAACCGGTCTGTAGGGTGGGGCCTCGGTAGGACGACCGAGGAGTTACCGGCCCTTAAATCTTATCCTGGAGAAAGCAACTAGAAATATTAAGGTTGGCTTTTATAGGATAAGCTGTTACGTATGCTGCTACAAGGCTCGCGATAAGCTGCTGGTCGATGGCTGGGAGGCAGTTGCTCCTCTACATTTGTTTCCAAGCGCCTTTATGGAGATCATTCGGATTATCCTCTTGCTTGTCACCGCTCGGTAACCCTGCCACCGGTTCAGTTATAGCTAACAGGTCGGTTACCGACCCTTTTATGCCATAGGGTGTTTGGAGGGGGGATGCATGGAGGGGGGACGTAGGAAGGGACTCCAGGTTAGTCGCGTGGTTGTTGCGGTCGCTGTTTGACTGTCGCGCTTTCTGGGGCTGGGGCTAGGGACGTGGTATATAGCGCCCAAACACCCCGTGGATCACGGCGAAAAACGCGATGTGCGTGCCAACCGATGTAGGCCAGGGAGTGCGACTCGGGCGCGCAGGTTTCAAAGCTTTCGCTCGAGGCAGAAGTGTCAAGGCGAAAACTCCTCGCTACAGGTAGCATATCTACATTACCCAGACATTTGGGTCACCCCTTATTTCTCCGGCGGGCTCGTCACTTCTTGTCCAACATATAGCAACGGATTAGGGTGCCCCTCTCGCAGGGGAGAGCAGGGAACTGCCTCGGGAAATGGGGCCGCTGGTGAAGCTATACCACCCTGTAACGACAGACATACATATAGCACATGCGCACGCACAGCGTACGAAGGTTCACGCTTTGAAGGGTTGGCGGTAACGCAAGCATACCGTCCACTAGCCACAGCCAAGCATACAACCCTAGAGTTAAATAGTCCAATCTCGACTCGAGGTGCAGCCCTTTGCCCGCATCGTGGTACTGCAGACACACGACACGACGGAAAACGCGACCTTCACCTTCACTTAATTAAATCCATAGGGTTCCCAATCTCACATCTTCCACCATGTGCATTGCAACTGCATTGTGCAGTTGCCACTCTCCATCGCACACCTCCCCGAACCCCTCATGGGACATCTGACACACAAAACACACAAACAGCCGCCACTACCTGACCGGCACGGACCACACCGCCCAATCCGTTCCGGCCCCCCCCCACCCGACATACGGGAGGTACTCCAAAAACTGCTGCTATAACGCTTTGAATGGCCGAAGCGGGCAAACCCCGCCAAACTTCGCAAAGAAAAAGCAGCAGCCGGTGCCATTACCTGGCAAGACCTCCAACCAGTTCCTTGCGGTAGATGTCGTGTTGCGTTTGTCATAGTTGCATGCAAATTGCATGTTTCCTTAGGGTATCTCCCCGGACCCCTCCACCACCACAAGATACGGCCGCGACCCCCAGATCCACAGGACAGCGACAGCGACAGCAACGGCACTGAGCGCGAAGTGTCGCATGAGTTTCGTCCCAGCAGTGCATTGCCCCAGCTTGTGTACCTCAGGCCTTCTGCAGGGCCTGGCGCAGCATGGTCTGCAGCTCGCCAGTGTTCACCATCTGCTCCGCAATGTCCGCGCCGCCCACAAACTCACCGCTGATGTAGAGCTGCAAGAAACAAAGCACGGCGTTAGTTGTCATTCAAAATTCCAAAACACAAACAGGGGAATCGCACTTCAGATACAAAATATCAGCGCCAGAAGTGTTGTTTTTAGGTGTCGAGGCCGTAGCGCCACCGGGCAGATGCAGGCTTTCCATAGGCATAATCATTATCATACGAATGTTCTTCAATATAGGTTTGAGCCAGAGCATGCGCACTCCGCCGCAACGCCCCCAGATCCGCCCAGGTCACCCCTAGCACCTCTCTCGGTGGCCTACCCTGACCCACATCCACCCGCCCACCTGCGGGATCGTGGGCCACTGGCTGTACGACTTGATGGCTTCCCGCAGACCGGGGTTGTGGTACTCGTCCAACACGTTCACCACTTCAAAGTCCGCCTGCGTGAGGACCCGCAAAAGAGACGCCATGAAGAGCGAGACTTCGGGTAGGGCTGGGGATTGGGTCCAGCTTAATAGGACAGCGGGGCATGTATGTATGTATGTATGTATGTATGTATGTATGTATGTATGTATGTATGTTTGCAGACACACCGGATAAAGCTACATCGAACAGCATGAGGACTTCATGACGTGGTGACAAGTACAGGAAAGGAGAGCCCGCTATGCAAATCAACGGGTTGGCAACCGATTACGTTTTCCCGTGCGATAGCCCTCTGGCTGTTGCCGCATGGCCAGCGCACCTTGAGCGTGGTCAAGATGCTCAGCATGCGCGCACTGAAGCCGCACTGAGGCTGCTGTCTGGTGCCTTTGACGAACGCCACCACCTGATGATGAACACGCGCGATGTGAACGATCCAGATATACAGCCGTAAGTGCGACGCATAGTCCGCGGCCCGGAGCGGAGGGAGGCAGGGGTGCCGTGCAACCAGCGATTGAAGGTTGTGGGCGGGAATGCTTGTGGCCCGGAAATTACAAATAAAGCAGCCTCGCGACTTAGCCAGCCTCATGCGGCACATAGCTACTGAGCTGTCGGCAAGGTGGTGACGGGTGGGCCGCGTCGAGCGCTTTGTTAGGGTTCAAGCTGATGCACGACAAGGACAGCCTATGCGGGGTGTGACGGCCGCAGCTCCCCCGTTGTAGGCCCTGCCTCCTGCCGCTTAGAGCATAGGCCTTGCTTACCGCGTTCTCCTTCACAATTCGGTCAATGAGACCCTCGATGGTGATGCCCTGGATGGGTTTGCCTGCCGTGAGCCGGATCTCTGGCTTTGTGGCGCGTGCCACCGAGCGTGATTGCCACTTGGTCTCCCCTGGCATATTGCCAGGTGGGATATTGCCAGTCTCGGTCACTGCGACAAGACATGTGGGTATGCTGCTAAGCGTTAGAGGCAGGGGAATGCACCTCGTCGCGATGGTGCTTAGGCGCCCTGTATGGTACGCAACAAGGCGTTCCGTAAGACTCACCCGCCTCCTCTACCCAAGACTTCCAAGCGGACGTCAGGCCCTCGCGACTAGCATCCTCCACAATGTCATACTTTATCGACGCCGTGAGATCCGGAAGCTCTTGCATGTGCGCGGCAACGCTTGCAGAGACCTGTTTCCGGACAATTCGCGTGTTTTACCAACCAACCAACGATTGGGCTTTAATGGGAAGATTCTACCTTGCGAGTCAGTCCAATATATTGAAGAACGCCAGCCTTGTCGAATACTGCATAGACGCCAGCTGAGCCTGGGAACTGATTTAACTCGCCCTTGTCCATGACCGCCACAGCCTTCGTATCACGCATGGCGGCCTCTAATACAATTGCATGGCGCGTATGAATACGATTCAGTGAGGTGAACGGTGCAACAACACCCTTGGGCATGCGCGCCGCAGGGCGAGCCTCCATCAATTTCTGCGGAAGGCACTGCATTCTTCGTGCGTCACGTCGGTGCCTATGAAGGAAACTAAAAATTCTCTCAACAATTTGCCCGAGCTGCACTTAATTAGCATGTATCGGCAAACTATCTATCGCTGTGCGCCGTACAAACACTTACAAATATACGCGTCCACCTCATGCACAACTTTACGTTGCTGGTATATGATGCATTCTCATGTGGTCCCGGCTGCTAAATACATGCATCGTTCTGGAGTGGAAAGACAAAGTAGACTGGGACAACATGTACTGGTATTACGTCCACCGTTCGAGGTGATAGTACTTGGCCTTTTGAGCTGCAATCACTGACACGGAAAACCATCGTGCCAGTTCTTTTGCCATGCCGCACATGACTCCCTTATCGCTTGACGTACTCTCCAGTAGGCTACCCTGGGCTACCAACGGTCCGCTTGCTGCTAACTTCCTTGCTGGTATAAATATCTTGCCAAACAGTGCAAAATTTCTTCATGGAAACATTAGGGTATGCTCGTCCCGAGTGTTACACCACACATCGCCACCAGCAGCGACAGCCGCAGCGCCCACCCCGGCGGCCCCAGCAAACGCTACGACACAGCCGCCGCTGTTGCCGATGCCCTTGCCAACGAATATGCCAAGTCCCACACATAGCAGCTCAGGCAGCAGCTGCTGCCAACGCGGCAGCCCTGTGCAACAAAGTTCTTGCCGCAGCAGTGGCTCCCACCACGCCTGCTGTCCAAAGGCAGCCCAACTGGCGCTTAGAACATGGCCACGTTGGGGCGGCTGGCCTTGAACAGCGTCCGGAACTCCGGGTTCGACGGGCGCGACAGCTTGTGGGTGACTGGGAACTTGATGTTCTCGTTGTGGAACTGCTTGGTGTTGGCACGCTTGCAACTGTGGTAGTCCACGGTCGCCGTCTTAATGATCTGGATGGACGAGGGCCGCACACGGTGGCGCGACGCCATCTCCTGGTACATCTGAGCCACGGAACCGTTGAGGGTCACGTCGCGGTACTCCTTGTACATGTTGTGCACGCCAGTACGCGACTGGTAGCGTACCCACACGCCGTAATTCTTGGCCAGGGTGGGCTTGCGCTCGAAGATCTGATGCAAGTAGGGAACACAAGAAACGATTCAGAATTCTAAAGACAGGAACGTGGAGGTCGCGCTTAAGCGTCGGAAGGGCAAACCAGCCATGAGTAACACACCGCACGATGCCTCAGTGCACTAACGAAGGATGCACAGCGCTACATACAGAGACTATGAAGCTCGACAAATGCACGGCATACGCAGGGAATGTTAATAACCAAAGCCGTTTACTGCAATAGGCCAGGACCCGCTGTGCAACCAGAAAAGCGACCCGGCAGGGGCGCCACAACAGAGAACCAGTCCAGCCGTCACCCATGTAACGACCGAAAACGCAACAAGTTATATAATGCCGCGCACTGGGGTTCACGAAAAAGGCATCCGAATGGACCATGCGCCCTCTGCCATCCATGACATTTATGCCTAAGCGAATGCACAAGAGTATTGTCCATATCCGTCCTCGGGTGTACATGACTTAGGGGCAAAAAGAAGACATGGCAAAGTGTTTCCACGCCATGCCGCTGTCCCATGGCTACAAAGTTGGAAAGGTTATCCCTCAGGGCCGAAATAGGGCCATACCAGGTTGACCAGGTCGAAATCCGAGCCGTGAACATGCTAGCGGAGGCCATGGTGCGGATACATACCCCTGATCGGGAACACTATGCATTGCTTATTACGAAGCCGTAAGAGTGAGCTGCTGAAAACTCAGACTCGCGACGATCACAGGACTGAATAAGGCCCCACTGCTTCGGCAAACCATCTGCCACGCACGGCCAGTAGCTGAAGAACGGACGAACCCTTGAGCTGCAACTGAAATAATACCCGCTGGATAGGCAATCCTCCAACGCATGTAGCGAATACAGCTAGGGCCGCTGAAGACCTCGGGAGAGCACTGGCTAAAAACCGAATGAAGAGGACTCCCTGAACCCCACGCAGAGAGCTCCATAGTTGATTCGCCGGCAAACTGGACTTTCTCCGCAACAGTAAGCTCCCAAAGCTCCCCCAAAGCGCCTAGCTACAACCTTCGGAGGTTTCTGCCGCCGAAGCGCCAATGAAAGAGGCGGTTGCAGCAGCGTCTGCCAGTGTAAACCTGACTGCGGACGTCCTCAAGCGGCCAGAAGCAGTAGGAAAGCGCTGCCCCTAGAAGAACTTCATGGCTGCCGGCTGACCAGACGTACGCTGTTTGCAAGAGGTCCTTTGCAATTAACGTTCCTCCCCCCCAGCCCCAGCTCCCTAGCTGCCCACCTCATTGCAAGCGATAATCTGGCCGTTTGCCTTCTTCACACGCCTCAGCTTCCTGAGGAAGTACCTGCGAAGACGACACACCGCGCGAAAAGCAGCCGTCAAAACGACTATTGGGACGACCCGTGCCAACTGGCTTTTAATCCTTTTTAGGATTAAATGTTTGTAACTCCTGAAGTTACTACCTACTCTAAACGCTTAGAGTTTATTATGTACAGCGCCGTCGCTGAACACGACGAATCCAGTTCAGCTGCACCAGCCTATGCCATCAGTAGCTTACCAGAACTTGCTCTTAGCCTTGACGTCATCCTCAGCCCACACCTTCATGCGGTAGACAGTCGGGGTGGCATCTGCGGCCGTGGGCAGGTGGCGGCCCACCACCTGGTACTGGTGGAACTTAAAGTTCCCCTGCATGAATACGTCACGAAAGTAATTTTAATCTTCAGCTGTCAAACATTACACTCTTCCTAGCTCTCAGTCTCAATTCGGTAAGAAAACGAATACGTGCAAACTACTAATAATCACACCTGCATCACCATTTTTCGCAGGTTCTAGTTACACACCCCGGAAAGAGAGAGGTCAAAGTGTTTCGTGAGCTCTAACTTGGCCCGGCACAGGGCCCACGCAAGGCCCACCTACCCAACTTTGCTTGTGCAAGGCAAAGCCGAGAGCTCACATTCGGCATTTGATACAGAGGCACCCTACAACTGTACAACACCTCGACTCCCTGGTGAGATGACTGGCCAGCGAAAACAATACCAAATTCCCGCGCCATCCTGTTGCTCGCTATTCCACCTTGAACCGTGTACGCTAATACGTGCAATGAGACGGATACGATGCATGTATAAAGCGTCGCAAAATAGATGCGTAGCCTCAGGCATGTACCCGCAAGTTTCCCGACGCTTCGGCAGTTGGCGCTACGCGTAACCCGCACATTAAGCGTACGGATCAGAGAGCCGCGCGACCCCCGTCATTTCCGCTGCTTGACCTCAGGGATAAATTCAGAACTGCCTGCAGCCGCTCCAGGTTGCCTGGCGCATTTCGGCGCCAGGCAACCTCAACCGCCCCAGTCGTTCCCGTTCCACGTTCGAAGCCCGTCTCGTGTATCTCAGCACTCCCCACCCCATCCATTCTTCATCCTAAGTCCCTCCCTTCCGCGCTGCAACTTCCCATCCTCTTCCTCCTTGCAACCCCATCTTCGATTCCAGGCTGTCAAGCAGGCGGACGTCGTAGCTGAAGGTGCGGACAACGGCCAGCGCGACCGCTTCTTAAGCTTTCGCCAGGACCGTTTCCCTTAGGAGAACAGCAGGCTGCAGCGGCGGCCCCTACAGGCCCCGGTTCCGGCCGCACCTCAGTCCTCGTCCCGTCTGACCTTCCCCGAGGCGTACCGAAGCCCCCCTTCCTCGTGGGTCTTATCAGCACACAAAGCCAAAACACCAAAGCCAAAGCACAGCGACAGAAAAAGCTGTTCCACCAAACCTAAGATGCCCATCGAGAAGCGCGACCCGGCCAACCCAGTGGTCTTCCTAGACATCACGATTGGTGGCGAGTCAGGTGAGCCCATGTACGGCAGGTTTTACACATCGACCAGTGCGACAGCAAGGCACATCTCATCCCCCCCCAACGGTGTTTGTGGTTGTCTTGGTGGTACGTCTTTCCGCCCATCTCCTCCCGGGTGCTATATCGACGGGAGGGATGAACGGGCAGTAGCGGCAGCAGGAGCCGCGGCATGAAAACGGCTCTCGGTGCGCTAGTAGTAGCAGCAGCAGTAGCAGCAGCAGCCAAAGGAGGAGCATCATAAGGCCCACCCACCCGTCCATGCGTGTGTGTGGCACACATCATCAAGACCAAATCCCCCTTCCTCATCCCTTTGGGGTTTGGGACAGTTGACCCTTTGCACCTTGAATATTCAACTTTCCCGCGTTCATACATACATACACACTCCCTGGTGACAGCGTGTTATCTTGCCTGGGTGGTCCACGGCCTTCTAGGTGTTTCTTGGGGAACCCATTTACCTCCCGCCCGCTGTCCGTCCCATACCAGCCCGAAACCTCCCCCCGCCCTCTCTCACCTCACACCCCATCGCGCCTGTCCCGATCGCGCACTCCCTCGCCGTGCGGTGCTGATGCAGCCGGCCGCATACTCCTCGAGCTGTACAAGGATGTCGTACCAAAGGTACGTCAGCGCTGTACGGACGCATAAGGCCCTGTTCTGGCGCAGCAGGGCACATCGCAAGCCCCCTTGTTACACTGCTTCACTCGTTTGTGGTTCGTCTTTCCCCCCTTGTTACAGTTGTATATATGTATATATATATATATGTAGGAGTTTGGGGGCTTTGCTTTTGCGCTGCACATTGCTGACTCTACCGGGCCCGTTGGGGAAGGTTCTTTCCACCCACTCCCGCAGCTCTCCCGTATCCGAACCCCCCCAAGTAAACACACACACGCCTCCTTTTCGCCACATCGGCATCGCCGGACCCCTTGACATGTATGTATATGGTCTCTTGCCATCAACACGTTGCCCTACTCGGCCTCGGCACTTTGCTGGGCACTGCCGTGCTTTCGGCGGTCGGCACTTTGCAATCTTTTTGTAAAAGTGAATATGATGAACTCCCCTGTCGCCCAAATTACACCCACTGCCCTCTCCCGGGGCGCGGCATGCAGACCGCTGAGAACTTCCGGGCTCTGTGCACGGGGGAGAAGGGCGTTGGGGAGAAGGGTGTGCCGCTGTGCTTCAAGGGCTCCACCTTCCACCGAGTGATCCCAGGTGGGTCAGGGTTTGAGGAGCAAACGACCCGTGGGTCAGGGTTTGCTATTTTAGGGGGTTGAGGTAGGGATTGGTGTGCAGGAAGAGGAGGGGAGAGCGTATGGGAAGATCCCCCACACGGACACCTGCTTTGCCCGTTGTCTTGGAGCTTGGCCGTGAATTGCGGCAGCTGCGGTCGACCTCGTGTTGTCTGTGGTGGTGGTTTGGTGATGGCTGCTTAGCATCCTTGCTGCCGCCCTCCGTCGGCACCGCTGTGTAATACAGAACAGGCCGCATGCCCAAAACCCTTCCCTGCCCCGCGCGCGCATGTGTGTGTATGTTTGCGTGTGCTGTTGATGACGACGAGCCTGAACACTACCGCCACCATCGCCGGGGCAAATCATCCGTCCCTTACTATCCATCTGCTCCTGGGCCCCCACCGCCCTCCCCCTCTCGTCAGCAGTTCGTCTTCAACCCCCCTCACTCGATCGTGGTTCGTCTTTCCCTCCTCATCTTCACCCCCCCCTCACCCCACCTCCTCTCTCCCCCCCTTCTTCACACAACAGACTTCATGATCCAAGGAGGCGACTTCACTGCCGGCAACGGAACCGGTGGGACCGTCGGGCGGAGAAAGGGGGGGAGAGAAATGGATTTGGGAGGGGGGAAAGGGCTACAGGGGGGCCGGTGAGACGGTATGGTGAATGTGCGTGTGTTACTGTATACGATGTGTGTGTGCATGGAACAGGGCTAAGGGTTGAGGTGGGACGACGGACGGGCGAATGGAGGGTTGTGTTGGTATTACCCCCACACGCCCGTGTGGGTTATAGCTCGAGGGGGGGTTGCGTCCAGCAGGACCATTACCCCTTGTGCTACCCCTTGCTCCTCCACACACCCCTATCCTCACCCGCCCGTACCCCCCCAGCCACTCCCCCTCTGGCCCCCAACTGCCCCCCAACACACACACCCACACACACCCACACACACATCTATTCACCTGGCGATCTGCTGCCGGTCTTGTTTATTTCCTCAGGCGGTGAGTCCATTTACGGGGACCGCTTCGAGGACGAGAACTTCACTCTGCTGCACGACACGCCGGGATTGCTATCCCTGGCTAATGCAGGTCCCAACACCAACGGAAGCCAGTAAGTGGTGCTGGTTGTATCAGTGGCAGTAGCAGTAGCAGCAGTGCTGGGATGGAGGGGTGAAAGGGGGGCCGGGGTAAAAGGCTCTCCGGCAACTGAATTGACCGTTAGCTGGTCGCATCGCATATTCCCCAGCATTTCCCCCTTCCCTTTCCCTACTTCTGGGTTTTACACTCTTGCCGTGGCAGCAGCTTCACTCATTCGTGGTTCGTCTTTCCCCCCCCCCTATACCCCCTCCCTCCGCCCCCCTCGCAGGTTCTTCATAACCACGGTGCCCACTCCGCACCTGAACGGCAAGCACGTCGTGTTTGGTCGGGTGCTCAAGGTGGGTGGGCGCACACCGCAGGAAGGGGCTGAGCTTGAAGCTGTGGGGGCACCTGCTGGGGCAGCGGACATGGCGCCTTCCCGCGCCTCCCCCTCCCTCCCCCTCTCTCTCTCTCTCTCTCTCTCTCTCTCTCTCTCTCTCTTTCTCTCTCTCTCTCTCTCCCCTGCAGACAAACCTGTTCGTTATGAAGGCTGCAATGACGTCCTCATCCTGCGCTTCCTCAGGGCAGGGCTGGGCAGGGCAGGGCAGCCGCTCGGAGTCCTGCCAGTTCCTACTGCTGCTACTGCTGCTACTGCGAAACTGCTACTGCTAGCTGCACACGCGCGCCGTTGTACGGCTCTGCCGCTGGCGGGTTTTCCACTTCCTTTTCCATGCCCCGCCTTCATTGCTTTGGGCATCTTTGGCAGTTGACCGTTTGCCTCTCATATCATTATCTGATTTCTTGGTGTCTTCTTTCCCCTTCCCCCCCCCCCCTCTTGGTCACAAAAAAACGGGAGGGTATGGGCGTGGTC